TTGATGTTGAAAATAAGGATTATGCCTACTGTATCGTGAGGTTGAGCTCCTAGGTAATCGAGATACTTCGAGACGCTTCCGCAACGAAAGAGGCCCTCTTAGCAACATGGCAGGGTCTAATTCGTTTTCCTAGAGGCTCTTGTCCCTCTATGGTCTCTCTACCTGCCCTCCGATTTGGCTGCTCAACTGCTAGCCCGCCGTCGAACTCTTCCCGTACCGGCAGAGATGCAGAGCAGAGGTTCACATTGGAGAAGTCAGCACCGAAGAAAATCGTTTAATGTGGAAGGTTAGCGGGAAAACAGGGGTCCCGTGTTGTAGATTTCAGGCCGTTCCGCCTAATGTTTTTTGCTGCTGCACCGCTTGTCAGCTCCTTTTCAGCCCAGAGAGCAATTCACTTGCATTTATCTATAAGCAATTTGAAAGAAAAAATGAAGGAAGAGAAGAGTGAAACATTAAAGAAGCTATATCTATAGAACAATTTTCAGCTCGTGATCGGTAACAAAGGCATTACCGTCGACATGGCTATCGCTCAGATGACAATTTGGTAAGTGCAAATTTACTCGTTTTTCTTTTGCTCACATTTCCTTTCATTCTTAACTTTTTGATTCACCTCAGAACAAACCAGTCATTCTTTCAACACCCTGACTTCAAATCCTCAAGTCTTTACTCTCAGATTTGCTTTTATCAAAAACTGTTTTATGTCGATTTGGTCAGCGCCGCTGATTATGTCTAACGATCTTCGCGTCATTGCTCCCGAATTTCAACGGATTCCTCCTCAACCGTGAGGTGATTGCCATCAATCAGGATCCGATGGGTAGAATGGGACGGCTTGTGGCGAATGTGAGTTTGGGTAGATTCTCTAGCATTTTTCAAAAGATTTAAATGCGCTGCGCTCTAAAGTGAGTGCTGGGTAACGGGTGAGTCGTATCTAAGCCTAACTATTTTATAATATTTGCACTCATGTAGTGCAACTTTTTTGCCAGTGTGTAAGCTCCATAGTGAAGTAAACACACAAGTGTTGTACATAGAAAGGTACAAGAGGTTGAGTGCTTCCAGATTACATTATAATACTTGAAAAAATAGGCAAAAATTCGAAGAGCCTAAAAAAATGGCGGATAATTTTGCTCAACCTAAAACTTGGGCATTGGCTAGCTATCGCGAACTGAGTCTTGCGGCAGCACACATGGGCAACATTCACGAACTTCAATCTCCGAGCGGTGGTATTACAGTCGTCCACTCCAAAACAAACGCCGACGCAGTGCGCTGAACACCCCCCCTTCACATTCACACAAGTGTCCTCCTGTCCGCAAGCAGCAAGACGATACAGTGCGACATGATGAGGCCGGCATCCTTTTGTGTGCTATCAATCTCACATAGGAAGGATTTCTAAGCATACTCCAGACGATGAGTTTGGTTCTAGTATCAAAAAAATACTTCTATAGTTCGGAAATCACCTTTTTCTTGGCAGGTCTCTGGAGTAGGTGCTTACGTGAAGCCGATAACGCCTGTCTACGGTTCCGACACTTCATTTGCCATCGCCGTCCTCAACAGAAACAACCGAGCAAATGTAAGTGGACGCAACAATTGAGCTGTAACCTTGTGGACTCATGCAAAAGGACAGCTCTGGCGCGTATATCGTGGCTACCGTGTTCTTTAAACTCAGTTCTGCTGTTATTATATTGCCTAGTCCTTCACTGCACGTTTCCGTTTTGCATTATTTGCTGAATACTCGAACAGTTTTACCACAAACAGCTGGAATTAATGCAAAACTTTGGGCGTCAGCGAGATTCTTTCCCCGGACTGCTCTTGCTATTTCCGGGCAGTTTTTCGGATCTCTTGTTTTCCGGGCCAGTTGTGCTACCGGCTACACCGCTTGGCACCATTTCACCACAACACGGCCCCGATGATAATGTTATGCAAATGGTGCCTCGGTGGTGTAACTCGTAGCCATAATTGCCCAGAAAGCAATAGATTCGGGTATGAATCATGGATGGGCGAAAGTTTTGCCCATAGCTCAGCATTCTTGAGGTAACATTTGCAGCCGTGTGTCTGCTTGACAGTTTTAGCACCTTAATTCTCAATGCACTCTCATACTCAAGATTTTATTGCTGATTTGCCCATAATCAAGCAACTTGGAAAAAGCTATCAATGGTCAAGCACGAAAGCCGTAGAAAGACTTGCATATTTCTGTGGATTCTAGGCAATCTGGTACTTCATTGGTCGTGCTTGTTCAAAAATGCTGAAAATGTGAGCTGTCAAAGTTCTGAGCACCACTGTACAAATAGTGGAGGGGTAACCCACCTCACCTCGCCTGCTTCGACTTGTCTGTCTCCTCGCCAGGGTGAATTATCGGTCGATCGTCGAGGATTCCTCAACGGCACGTCGAGGATTTTCGCCTGATCAGTTACGATCTCTCGCGCGGACATTCACACTCGCCATGCGCGAGCCGTCTGTGCTCTCCGCGCGGATGTTCACTCTCGGCACTACTCTCGCACAGTAGAGAGCTTCGAGGAAATCCTCGACCGTTATTCACCCTGCTCCTCGCTCTCCCGAAGGTTTTCTTATTGTGTTGTCAATGGTATACACGTGCATGGCTTTTGCGGGACACAGTGCCAACAATGACAGTAACCGAGAAAGAGGTTAAGACCCGATTTCCATAACACGATTTGCGAATTTCATGTTGTTTAAGAGTTCGATACTTCAGCAATTAAAATGAATTCAACAAAGCGCATCTCTGATAGAATTTTCAGCAAGATAGCATATTTAAGTCAGGCCATTCAGAGCGATGTGGCCATTTTATGAGAATTTCGTTTCAAATTTCCTATTCTGTACATATTCTGCTGGAAAAAGCATTCTGCCTTGTACACGAGTCGAACATGCCAGTGTTTTCAGGATGTCGAGTTCAAGTTAAGAAATCTTGGTCTCACAAATGATCGCGGCTACATTCCTCAAAGATCTCTGGAGCAATGCGCCGATGGTGAAAGCGAATCCGGACGACACGGTACGATTCCGAGTGCCGGCCACTGGGGCAGCGATGTATCGGGCCGAGCTGACAAAACCAAATCGCTGGTTCGAGAACAATCGATTACGCGAAATTCTCACTAATAGGGTGCCGTCCGATTTTTAAGACGGCTGCACGGGTCCACCAGTCCCTGCTCAGATTCTAGTTGAGCTATTTTTCTGTTTGCCTGCCAATTAATATGTACATATTATATAGCAGAACTTGAAAGTGCCGCGACTCTTGTCTTATACATGATGATTGAAATTTGATAAAGATTGAGAAATCTAATTGGTTGTGGTCCTTTACTCAACAAATCTAGAGAACAGAGTATTTAACGTTTCTGATGGCTCCATCCACCACTCCCACATTCATCCTGAGTTGAAGCTCGGCATTTGGATTAGCACAGTATCGAATGAGAAATCTCTGAAGCTTCTTCTACTTCTAATTTTATCTCTCAGCGACCGCAAAAAGTGATAAAGTTTAATACGGAATATAGTCACTTTTGGACGTCAGAATCGCATAGTGTAACATTTCGAAGCGCTTTTATCAATTCACCCACATGGGCATCTTCAGGCCTGGATGATTGCTCAAGGTCAACCATGCGGTTCGGCGATTCTTGAAAATTTTGCGCACTCCTGCCCTTCAGGGCACACGAACCCTTACCACCAGGATACTAAGAGGCTTCGCAACGACCATCTTCTCCTCAACCAACTGCACCCTCTTCAATCAGGTGTCCCTAAATGATGTTGATTCTGAGACTCAGTCGAACACATCCGACTCCGCCCACTCATCCCTCAAAAAACGCGCTGCCGAGGGGGGGGGGTTTGCTTCAAATCAAATCAAAAAACCACTGAATGGCAACCCCGTCCAACGACCTCTGTTCGGACTTCTCTAAGGACCATCAACCTCGCCCAACCCAAATATGGAACCCAATGTGGCGCGAAATCACAAATGCGACCCACTCGTTGAATAGGGCGAACGCATGGCTCTGACCGATGAGCTCTCTCGGTGGGCCAAATATTCACCTCAGTATTTCAGGGCCATTCTTTTTTGGTGGTGATGGGACCACAATCAGTAGATGTGACCTTTCACCAGGCAAACTATATTGGTAATGGGAGTGCAACGGCTGTGAGCTGCTGTACATGGTTGCTTTGGATTCCGGCTGTACAACGTTGGGGTCTCGTTCTCGTCGTCTCACATGCCCGGAACTCTCCTGCCTCGATTCCCAGTCTTTCCTAGTGGTTCTAGCCTCCAAATGTGGCTGTTCTAGCCTCAAATGCGAGTTCCTATATTGAAACGTCTTCGGTGATTTTCCTTCCCTACCTATCGACAATCTATTCGCTCTCTTAATATCAATTCCGAAAGTGGTTATGAAGCCAATGCAATCTTATGCACACGTCTCCTTCGATATTTACTCTGACCTGCAAAAGGCGGCCATTGGAATGCTAAAATGGGAAAAGTTGTGCCGGTTCCAGTAATTGTCATGGCTAAGTTGTATAATTTGCTCGGTTCCAGTTGCCTTATAAATTAAGTGACGATATGTCATCAGTTCACCATCTCGTTGCTCTGACCGTCAATTTAATGTGACTCGGAAATTTCTAGTAATATATTCTTTGACCTATAGCATTCGCTTTATGAACAGTACATCCACGATTTAATATTAGGTTGTCCTAAAAGTCTTTGCCCATTTGTGAATTTTTTTTCAAATCCACTTTTCTTCTTTAGCCCAGTCAGCAATTTACAATCATATGCCCCATCATAATCGTCAACATATTGCCTTTCAGCAGGTGACTTGTGGATGCCGTTTGCCTAGAAGTCCTGAGCTTTCAAGGCAAAAAACTGGAAGAAGTCCGTTTTCGAGTAGTCCGGATTATGAAGCTCTCCCTTTTTTAGTTGAATCAGCAGCAACAGAAGCAGACGGTATTCTGTTGGGGCCGATCTGCTGAACACAACTGGCAAGACAGAACATCCCATAAGGGCTTGGAGACTTTTGCTGAACCATCTCCAAAGCTCCCTGACGGGGGTGTCCCCCAACAGGCCCATCGCGCGGCGAAGGAAGAGACGCAGACGCGGCAAAGGACGAGTCGCAGCGCATACTGTAGCGGTTAGGCGTCAGGTTAAATAGAGTGTACCATACTACGTCTCATATCGCACAGCACGCGCTGCGACTCGTCCTTTGCCGCATCTGCGTCTCTTCCTTCGCCGCGCGATGGGCCTCTTGGGGGACACCCCCTGACGGTCGTTGCTTGGATGAAGTGAACTTTGCAATGTTTTCCAAGCATAGTGCTGGTGGAGCCATCAGTTTTCCCATATTATCGTTCAACATAGCAGTGCAGTTCGTTGGTAGGAGCTATCAGTGAACGAATCGCTTGCAGCTTTACCAACTCCGAAAGTTGCCTCTCAAGTTGCAGTGCTGGAATGGACGTCGGAATCTCTGGTTCTACGCGTCTGAGCCAGTGGCGCTTGTGTTTAGCTCGAGGAACTTACTCTCTTGCTACCAAAAACAAAGTAGTTCGGGTCAAGCGCGTTACGATACGTACTAATCAAACATGTCAATGCAAAATTCTAAGGCTTCCTAGGCGGTTGTCAAACTGTTGGAAAAAACTGTGTCATTACCGTGTATTGCACCAAGAGACTGTTTCAATCAGAATCTTCAGACAGACTCTCCCTCTTTCACGTAGACAAGCCATGACCTGGACTTTGAGCTTTTTTTCTCGAGTTTCCGGACATCGGCAACCAATGTTTGCCATGTCGTGAAAGACACTCTGGAGGTCCATCGCAAGACGTAGGGCTCTTGCCGCGTCGCTTCCACTGACGCGTTTTCTGGGTTTTAGAATCAAGAGTAGCCAAATATGTTTTCAGTCAAAGTCGATTTCTCACTAGGGAAGGATGAAGGGTCGAAGTGGCCATATGAAATGAGACAAGTATCATGGTATGTGGTTTCGGACGCTGATCTCGAATCTTCTTCCCAAATCTGCCAAACGATTCGCTGAACGGAGTTACGGAGGTTTTTTGTTCCCTCACACAGTTTAACACAGTGAGAAATCGGCCTCAGCAGCAGCGGCTCGTGAACGAAGCAGTGAGCCTCTACGATCGTGTGCTGGTGGCCTGGTGGGTAAGGCGACGGGCTTGGAATTTCGGGGTCAGTGGTTCGGATCCGCCGCGTGTTCTCGCTTTTGCATTTTTGTGACTTGCCTATTTGGCAGTAGTGCAACGTGATTCCTTCATCATTGGTCAGCCCTACTTGCTTTTGGATGAGTTTGAGGTCGATAACTTCGAAATTTTTCCTAACTTGCATGCCACTACATAAGGTTAAGGCGCGCCAGTATACGGAGCGCGCGCTTCAGCCGTTTTTGAGTGAACGAATGTGAGATCTGTGTTCAAGTAGTCCAATAACTCCTGGGGCCAATTTCTAGAAAAATTCGAGATTTTGAATTAACTTCAAAAAAAGTGGGCGAGTCACTCATTGATGCCACATATCCATAGCCGGTAGTTCCAGGGTTGACCTATTTTGGACGACGGCAACCCTTTGAATTTGAAAATAATAAAATGTGGGTGTTGAAACCATGCGAACAGAAAACCAGGCAATGCTTTACACTCTTCAGAAACCAAAAAAAAACTTATATCGTCTCAAGGCTATATAGGCTTCGATGATAGGCTGATGGATGAATGGATAGATACCCACCAGCTTATTTCGAAATTTGGTCGAAATCTCAAATTTGGCTACAAACTTGTCCCTAGGGGTATTTTAATCTCCGGAACACGAATATCACACTTGTTTGCTGCAAAAACGTCTGCCAAGAGTTCTGTGGGCTCCATGTGCAGTCTTTAGTAAGTACCGCCGAAACTGATTAGAAACTCCTCGCAAAGTCTTTGCACGGGTAACTACAGGCAAGCATTGATCGAGTAAGGTAGTTGGGAGCCTTTTTCAATCATTTTGCAGCGAAGGCAAAAAAGAGAACCCGCCAGGGAATCGATCCTACGACGTCTCGCACGTGAACCCGGACTACTACCGCTGCACTACTTTCCTTCATAACTCCATTCGGAAAATCGTTTGGCAGATTTGGAAAGCAGATTCGAGATCAGCGTCCAAAAACGCATCCACCGGTGTAGGTCTCTTTACATATGGCCACTTCGACCAACCATCCGTTCCTGGTAGCCTGCCATAATCGCTGCGACCACGGCAGAAATGCTCTGAAGAGATCATTGACTAGGGTTTACATCTGTTTTACAATGGATGGTCAAAAATTATCCCTGAAGATTTCACAACATACACATGGAAATGGGCAAAGACTTTTAGGACAACCTAATAAAATTCTCTTTCGATCTTTTAGATTGTCTTAGGTTGCAGTCAATAACTAGGTAATATCGCTCTGGTGACCGGTTGCAACCCCTTTGTGGTAGTCGACATGAGTTCGTCCGTCATCTTTCCAAACATTCCATCAACAGAGTAACACGAGCGCATCTCACCTGTGTAAATAAAGGAGAAGAAACGGAATAGGAATGAATGTAGGGTATACTTCAATGCGAAGCATGGCGCCTTTTCACAGCTGTGAGGTTTCCTTCTTCCGCCCAATCGAGACCGAATAGCTGATGAAGCGCATATCCCTTTTCCCTTTTTATACCTACGGAATTTCACAGCGTTTCTGCGACCATTTCTGCAAATCTGTTGTCTCATTGCTATTTTTTCCTCGGTGGCTTGGGCGGGAGTCATTCTCACGGGGTTTTCTCTTCTTACCATTTATATTTCGTAGTGGGCGTTGCTCTCTCTCCCGCCCATCACCATATATATTGAAGGAATCCTTTCCGGAAAATTCCTGCATTTTTTCCCATATGAATATGTCAGTTGTGATCACTAGAGACAACATACAAAGTTTCACGCACGAAGATTCGGTTTCCGAAGAGAAACAAACTCACGAAAACCACACTCTATGGACAGTCGAAGGTAGTCGCGCGGAGCCAAAGGCGGGGCATGGAAAGAAGTGCGCCTTGGGGCGGCTACGTATCAGGCGACGCAATGAAAGAATCGGGTTAAAGCGTGCGATTTTGGAGAGTAGAGACAAACAATCGATAGAATAGGATGCAGTAGAAGTGTGAGATGTCA